GTGCTAAATGCAATGTGTTACCGTTTTCATTGGTACAAACAATAAGGGACAATCGCCTCATCAACACTACAAATGTGGTCAGACTCATATCATATAGTGGGGATGCCATTCAAACAATAGGATGTATCCAATTACCATGTTTTCACAAAGGATCTTTGTATGAAATCTCATTCTATGTTGTCAACGAGCAAGTTACCCCAGTTTTGGGTTTACAAGATTGTTTAGCGCTAGGATTAATCTCTATTAATATCGACACTGTAAAGCACGATACCACACTCCCAAGAGCGCAGATACCACCCATCGGGGAAATAACTGAAGAGTATGTACTACAACAGTATAAAGATTTACTTGATGGAGACCTGGGGTGTCTTCCAATCTCGTATAACCTGGATCTTGACAGAAACGTTTGCCCAATAATCCGTCCACCACGACGTATTCCAGTGGCCCTACAAGACCCCGTTAAGAGCGAATTGGACAGAATGGTTACTATCGGGGTAATTTCACCAGTGACTCAGCCAACCGAATGGGTATCAAATTTGGTTGCAGTAAAGAAGAAAAACACAAATGATATCCGTTTGTGTATAGACCCTTGTGATTTAAATAAAGCCATTAAGCGTCAGCACTATCCTCTCAGAACTATAGAAGAAATTGTGGCCCGCATACCTAATGCTAAAATATTTACGCTTATTGACGCGTCTAATGCTTTCTGGCAGATTCCACTAACGGAACAGTCGTCCTTTAAAACCACGTTTATCTGTCCATATGGACGATATCGTTTCTTACGCATGCCCTATGGTATAAGGAGCGCAAGTGAAGTATTTCAGAAAACAATGGATCAGCTGTTTAGTGGTTATCCCTGTGAAATTATCATAGATGATATTCTAATTTGGGGTACGTCCAACACCGATCATGATACCAAGCTCATAAAAGTTCTTGAGAGAGCCCGTGAAATCAACCTTAAATTAAAACTCAAAAAGTTCCAGTTTAAATCGTCAAACATAAGTTATATCGGCCACAGACTCACGTGTGACGGCGTTAAACCAGACCCGGATAAAGTGAAATGTATCACTGAAATACCTGTACCAGACAATATTAAGGCTCTACAGCGATTTCTTGGTATGGTTACCTACCTAGCAAAGTTCATACCCCATCTTAGTGACCAAGCTGCTCCGCTTCGTGTCCTCCTTCAAAAAGATGTTACTTGGCACTGGGATACGCATCATCAGGTTGCATTTGATAAACTCAAATATGCTATCAGCAGTCCGCCTGTTCTGAAATACTTTGATGTCAATAAGCCAGTAACTCTCACGTGTGATAGCTCACAAACCGGTCTTGGTGCTGCATGTTTACAAAATGGCCTACCAGTTGCATATGCCTCGCGAGCCCTAACACCGACTCAAGAGGGCTACGCTCAAATTGAAAAAGAGCTCCTTGCAATCGTCTTTGCATGCAAGAAATTTCATGACTACATCTTTGGCAAAACTGTAGATGTAGAAACTGACCATAAACCACTAGAAACAATCTTTAAGCGTCCTCTATTAGCCACTCCAATGCGTTTGCAAAAAATGCTTCTTCAATTACAGCGATACGATTTAAATATTCACTACAAAAAGGGAACCGAACTTCACATAGCTGACACATTATCCCGTGCCTATATACATGATAACACCCCACTGTTAGAAGAGAATTATGATGTTATGTGTCTTATACCCATTACAACTCCAAAGTATGAAGAATTAAGAAACGCTTCGTTAAATGACCACACGTGTCAGAGACTACGACAATACATTCTCTATGGATGGCCCGAATACGAGAAGGATGTCGAGCCAACTGTTAAAAAATTTTACGCCTTCAGAGACCTATTAACAATTCATGATAACATTATTTACAAAGGCGAAAAAGTTGTAGTCCCCCATGTTCTACAACACCATTATGTTGAACAAGTACACAAGGGACACATTGGAGTTGAAGCTACAAAACTTCGTGCACGTGATTTATTTTATTGGAACAACATGAACCATGACATTGAAACCTATGTATCACAATGTTCAACGTGTAATCATTTTAAGCCCCACCAAAGCAAAGAACCGATGATCTCCCAACCAATTCCAGACCGACCTTGGAGCATTCTCGGATCGGATTTGTTTACATGGAATGGAGTCAATTACTTAGTTCTTGTTGACTCGTATTCTGGCTGGATTGAGATGCAGTATCTTCAAGAAACCACTTCGCAGGCTGTAATTAACAAACTCAAGTCGCATTTTGCCAGATTTGGTGTTCCGGACATCTTTTACAGTGATAACGGGCCTCAATATTCCTGTCGAGACTTTGCCATCTTTTCCAAACAATGGAACTTTACACACAAAACATCCAGTCCCGGTTATCCCCAAAGCAATGGTCTTGCTGAACGCGCGGTAAGAACTTGCAAGAATATACTTGACAAGTGTCAACATGACGGATCCGATCCATATATAGCCTTGTTGAATTATCGAAACACCAATCGAGATAGCATTTTAGGATCTCCGGCACAGCGTATCTTTGGACGACGAACTAAGCCCACAATGCCAATATCTTCATCGTTATTATCTCAAGCCAGCATCGACCACCGAATTGTCTATAATCGACTTTCCAATCTACGCGCTCAACAAAAGTCAACTTATGACAAAAACAGTAGACCTCTTCCAGAATTGCAGCCAGGTAATACCGTCCGGATTCAGACTGACAAGGGATACAACAAAGTTGGTACTGTCACGTCAATTACCAATACGCCTAGGTCATACTTTGTCAACTATCAAGGTCGCACTCTCCGAAGAAACCGGCGTCATTTACTCCATGTCCCAAAAGAGTGTGTCCATCAATACGAGGAAATAGCACCCTGGATACCTGTTCGTTTTCCACCGGGAAATGTAATCATTCCCCGAACCGAACCTAATAATCAACAGCTGCGCAATCCCGGTACAGACCTCACTAATAACGAGGAGAGGAGTATACAACCACCACAGTTTCAAAACCAGTATTATGTAACAAAGAGTGGACGAGTTTCTAGACCGACTCCAAGATACCAAAACTAACTTTTTGAATATATTTACTTGTGATTATTCAGTTAATAATGCAAGAAGCATTAATTGTTAATTTAAGTTTAAGTAATTATATAATTTGTGAAATCTCCATAATTTCATTCTAGAAAAGGGGGGATGTAGCTAGGTATAAAGTAATACTGTCCATTGATAAATGTACTTATCTCCCTTTAACCACTAGATTAATTGAAGCGGCCTCGTTCTCATTCTCTATCGAGAAGACTTGGTTTTCCGCCATTTTATGTTATGCTGATATATCTGTGTCTAGATAAAGTATGTCAAATACTTAAAATGTGTTATTTATGATCAAGTAACATTAGCCACCGTTACACAAAACAACAAGTTAGCCTCTATCCACTGATCTACAAAACGCACGGTGGACTTACTGTTTACTGCACATCCCTACGATGTTATCGATTTATCGATTTATGAAAACAACAAACCAGTCTATACAACATAGTGGTAACATTATATATTAATGTCATGTATAATTAAACAAAGATTATATAAGATCTAAATCTGCCTATTACACGTCTTTCTTTAGGCCTGAAATGTTATCTTAATTATTAATTAGACATTAATTAACCTATCCAGACCATAATCAACTCTCGATGGCATCGCTAACCTGCAATGTTTATTAGATTAGGTTCCGATTTGCTGTTCAGCAAATTCCCTTCACATCATCTAGTTTTAACTATTATAGTGAGAACTGCCAGCTCTTTATCTAATCTCCCATAATATATCTTTAAGCTTATTTGAATATTATAAATACAACATTATCGAGAAATAAACCATGCGTTACAATATATGGACCAGGAACGGATCTCCAAATACTTCCATATTCCTCTTCTACTACTTCTTCTTTTTCTTCTTCTTCTTCTTCTGCTTCTACCTCTTCTTCTTCAGTGCAAAACTCTTCGAAAAAAGCTCAGGGCATGAAAAATGTCATGCTTGCTCCTAGGAAGATGAGTTTTACATAGACTAAGCCTGTTCTCCAATCCCATTCAGATATCCTGAATAAAGGGGTCTTTAACAGTGGAAGGAAACCGGAGGACCCGGAGAAAACCCACGAGGTTGGACAGGCGACGCTTTGTGGAAAGGCGATACAGAGCTAAATTGCTGTTTTGTGGAGTTGCGGTTAGGAGTTAAGAGAGAGAGAGAGAGAGATGGGGTTGAACGTCCACTCGACGACTAACACGTGTTTCAATTTTATTTCAATAATTCGCTTGTTGCGCGTAGGATTCTTTAGCAGTGAGAGTTAAGCAGAGGGCCCGGAGAAAACCCACGAGGTTTGACAGACGACCCTACTCCTTGTCACGTACAACCGAAATCACGCCACTTGACTAAGTGACATGAAATGAAATGGGGTTTAACGTCCTACTGTTCTGCTCTTAAACTGGGCTAATGATGACGGGCATACGCCATACAGTGTGCTATGAGGGAAATTTTGCCCGGACAGCGGCGCTACGACCTACTCTTATATCGAATTCCAACTGCTAAGGGATCTTTTACGTGCACGCCACTATGTACACGGGACCTCGGTTTCGTCCCATCCGAACGACTAGACAGCTGTCCTTGTCAGGCCGTCCGTCCTGCATCACTGACAAGGAGAAACCACGCCGGAAAATCTGGATAAACTTTCTCGGCCAATGCAGGGATCGAACACCCGACCTCCAGGCACTCAGTGACATACCTTATGATGTAAATGTTTGTTCCTTGGACAATTTGCACATCGATTGCCGGAATTCGATTTATGATATGACGTATCTATGACGTATCTATGACATATATATGACCTATATATGCCCGGTGTCAGGTCCATATAGCGCTATCTTGTTCAATAAAAATTTATCTAATAACGTCAGAGTGTGCAAGTCTCTTTAATGTAAAGATGATTTAGCTGTTTCTATTATTCAAGTGGTAATCGGTGATGTGTGGAGATTACATTCTACAAATCAGATATTGTAGTCTGTAACAGACGACGTGTTTGTGTGATTGTGATTCAGGTAAGTTATATATACTTTGATACATGTCTTATAAAAGATAATCTCGTAATCGATTCAATTTTTGAGATATATTTAGCCGAAGCAGAGTACATAGTTCTCCGGAGTGCGCATTGGGACTTTAAATATGGAGACTGTCAGCTGGCTGAAATGTGTCGGGTTGTGCGCGAGTGTTATGTGTGTAAAGAACTACTTGAATCATTAAATCGGGTACGTTACGGGGCTTATAGGTCGACCTAAACTACCGTACCTCTTGTTTGTGCTATTTTCTGAGGGGGCGTTTTTTTGTTTTGTTTCGATTTGTTTTTGTGTAGTGTGTTAACACAATGATAGTAAGCACACGGGGAGACCACACCACAAACAAACAATTACACAAGACAAACCTACGGACAACACAGACATTACAAACAAAAATCGTTTCACATCAGATCAAGTGAATGGGCATGTCTCATTTTATACAACAAACCATGTTGTTCTTCTTTTATTATCTGTTTGTTGTACGGTTGGGGTGGGCGGGGGTGCAAATGGTTAACGCGTGCGTTGCATCATAAGGGCTGTTACTGAGTCATGTGGCGTGGTTTCGATTCTCCGCTTGTACATGACAAGGATTATGGACGCCTGTCCAACCTCGTGGGTTTTCTACGGGTCCATAGGTTTCTACCTACTGCTAAAGACGTCTGCCTCCAACAATATGTTAGTCCCGAAATGGCTTCGTTTGTGTCGAGTAGGGCATCATGGTAATGGGGCACGACAGAATGTCTGCATTATTAGATGCCAAATTCAAAATGTTTAATTTAAAATTAATTAAGAACTTTCCATTATTTGTCCACAGTTTTTGTCTTTTCATACTGTTACGTCTTTTGCCTCACTTAATAATAGGGTTGGATGACCCAATGGTTAGCACCTGCGCGCTGTCTGTCATTGAATAAACTGGCATGGTTTCGATTCCTCGGGTGTACGTGGCAAGGAGTAGGGTCGCCTGTCCAACCTCGTAGGTTTTGTCCGGGTCCTCCTGACTCCTCCCACTGCTAAAGACCCCTACGCGCACGCGAATTATTGAAATAAAATTAAACCATATGTTAGTCCCGAAATGACCTTGTTTGTGTCGAGTGGACGTTAAACCCCATCTCTCTCTCTCTCTCTCTCTCTCTCTCTCTCTCTCTCTCTCTCACTTAATAATGACGTTGTTTATATTTTGAATTGGGGGTACCAATGTTTTTTAAGTGCGTACAGCCTCTGTGGGTCTTAATTCGGCCCTGGTGATATGACGTGGAAATCCCAGGATGATCCTGGTCCATCTAGAACAGTGGTTTTCAACTTTTTTTTTTTTTTTTGCCAACGGCACACCTTGGAACACATGAAAAAATAGCCGCATACCTGGCTAAATATATATGAAAAATATTTGAATTTTGCAAAATAAAAACATGGTAAGTCAGAGTGAATACATCCGTAGACTAGTCATAGACACATAGAATGACTCGAACTAAATAAAAAAAACCACAGCTATGAAATTACTAGTAGACATCAATGAATACTCAATTGTAATCACGTGGTTTTTCCCATTTTCTTAGTCACTCTGATCAGCGGTGAATATTCGCTCGGTCTCTACAATCACTGATAAGGATGATATGCGACTTAATGAGCCCCAAATATTAACTTTTTTATTAAATTTTTTTTTATGTATTAGAAAAATAAATAAAGACGTTTGAAGTATTTGTGGGTAAAAATTATTTCCTATTTAGTGTGAATGGGTCTTAAAATGAGTAAAAGGCACCATCCTGTCCGAACCAGTAACGTCTTATGTAAACAATGCACGCGCCATTGAGCCAATGATAGACGCCGCGTGATGTGACGTCACGTGTTAAAGACAGTCATCTTTTACAGTGATATTAGAAGACTTTCGCAATCTTCTGTGAAACAGATTTTTTCTTAGTGTCCTGTTCAAAATTTCGCGGCACACTTAGAAACGTCTCGCGGCACACTGGTTGAGAATCACTGTTCTAGAACTTACTGAAACAAGAGTAGTGTTTTTGTTTTGTTTTTTTCTTGTACAATGTTTACTCACAACATTTAAATACAACATATACATTAGGATGCATTCATGTATGCATTAATATACAACATCATGAATTGGTTGAAAAAAAAAAGGGTTGAAGAGTGCGTATCTACACTGAAATAAAAACTTTTTTCTTTTTTTTTTTTTTTAAAAATAGTCAATGCTTATCTCAATATTTAATGAGGGCTTAATACGAAACTGTGGCTTAAAATCTGTAACACTTTTACTGCGTAGTATTCTTTGAATGACGTTTAGTAATTCGAATATAATCAAAGAACATACTTTTTATGGAGAACAATTTTTATGGTTTATTTTACTGCGACGCAATTTCGCCAATCTGATTTCGTTTCTATTTCTATAGTTCAAAATTTCGTTTTACTTTTCTTTACTACACAAGGACCTGGAAGACTTGTTATATAACCCGCGTTCTAGATGATGCGAGGAAATTTGTCAATGAAATGGTCTGTTGCAGTGGGTTCTTGGCGTGTGATACACGGAACTGTGGGTAACCCACTAGAAACATCAAAGCTGATCGGTTAATCAAGGGTCTGACGTCATAGGTCAAAAATCGCTCGTATGGCCCCTGACGCGACCCCCGAGTACAACTAGTCAGATCTTAATGTAGTAGAGGCCATCGAAAGTATAGAAAACGAAACGAAATAAAGATCTGTATTTTAATAAGAATATAATTTCTCAATAATTAGGTCGTTGTTAGTTTATACCATTATAAAATATACTTAAACATACATTATGACGTCACATCAATAATACATTCTACAGTAGATATCGCTTGTGTGATATATTTCATAATCTACTGCGATATCTCCTTAGGAGATATCGCTTTACATGAATTTGATTGGTCAGTTGAAAAGGAACTACTTTTTTTATTTTCAAAGAACAGTTCATTTATTATTAAAAGTAACTTTTTTTTTTATTAAAAATGAACTATTATTATTCAATTGACCTTGATGGAAACACTGGGTCAATATAAAGGACTTTGCAATGTTTGAATTGCTGTCAAAAAATGATGTATCACTACGCCTTAATGTTCAGTAAAAGTGAAATCTACAGCAAAGAATTATATTTATCTATTTGTTCATGTAAGAAGGGATTGGGTGATAAATAAAATCTCCTACTGGACTTTTTTGATATCAAAAAATATCAACACTCGTTGATAAAGTAAAAAAAAACCCGGGAGAGCCTCGTTTTTTGTTATTTAATCAACTTGTGTTGATATTTTTTGATATCAAAAAAGACTGGTAGGAAATTCTCTATATAGCTAAATCTGCCTATTGCAGGTCTTTTTTTAGGCCTGAAATGTTATATAAACTATTAATTAAACATTAATTAACAAAGCAAGACCATAATCTAATCAACTCTCGATGGCATCGGATACTCGAGATTTTAACTACATTAAAACGGTTCGCTATTTAATTTAAAAATGGGAAAGCGAGGCTAAGTCACGATTATACCAATGCCCTGGTTACCACTGTGCACACATCTTGTCAAAACTACAAACAATGATAACTTGGCTGAGAATGAAGTAATTTGAATGAAATTTTCAATATTTTCTTTTTTTATCATCTATTTTTGAATTATTATAGCAAGAATGACCAACTCTTTATTAAACTCTTAACTAATGTATCTTTAACATGCCTGATAACGCCTTGTGAAATCTTGTTAAAACGTCGCCGTGAAATAAACCAGTAATTGTTATCCATAAATAGTGTGTTATTTGATCATGTTGGATTATGTTTTGTATTGAAACAAATTATTCTACAACATAAAATATGGAGTAGCGGTTTATAAGGAAATATTGATTATATCTCAGCTATACACCGATATATTGGTAATAGGCTATCGAAGAGGGAAATAACGTGAAATGGGGTTTAACGTCCTACTGTTCTGCTCCGAACTGGGCTAATGAAGAGGGGCATACGCCATACAGTGTGCTATGAGGGAAATTTTGTCTGGACAGCAGCACTACGGCCTACTCTTATATCGAATTTCAACCGCCATCGAAGAGAGAAATGAAATGGGGTTTAACTTCTACTTTGTCACACTAAAATAATGAAGAGGATTTATTTATTTATTTCTTCTTCAAGTAAAGGTTACAATATAACAACAATAAGTATATGAAATAAGAACTATATGAAGAATCGTATGATTGGGATAGGATCTTTTACGTGCACGCCAATGTGTACACGGGACCTCGGGTTTTCGTCCCATCCGTACGACTAGACAGCTGTCCTTGTCAGGTCCTCCATCCTGCATCACTGACAAGGGGAAACGGAAAATCGTATGATTGGGATGTGAAATGAGACGAGAATAGAGAAGTATGATCATTCGCCTTCCAAAGAGTATTTCGATTCCCCGGCTGTATGTGACAAGGAGTATGGACGCCTGTCCAACCTCGTGGGTTTTCTCCGGGTCCCCTGATTTCCCCCCACTGCTTAAAGACCCCTACGCGCAAGCGAATTATTGAAATAATATTGAACCATATGTTAGTCCCAAAATGACCTAGTTTGTGTCGAGTGGACGTTAAACCCCATTCCCCCCCCTCTCTCTCTCCAATGATTATTTTTTTTAAAAAAAAGGTTGATTATTTTATTTATTTCGATCACTGTGTCTGTGAATTACAGTGTGTTAAACATGACGACGGATTTTCAACATAAATAGAAAGAACGAGTCTACAGATTTGGATCCCATTTCAGTGCATGCGCAGAACACCACGAGAAGACAATGAATTGCTACCAATCAATCAAACAATACAATCAATATTTAATTAACTGCACACCGCCATGAATTAAAAAAGATATACATTTTGAATTGTACGATATTGAAGCGGTGGTCTTGATATTTACATACACCATAGAACAGATGACATGGGGTTTAACGTCCTACTGAGTTAATGAAGACGGGCATACACCATACAGTGTGCTATGAG